AACATGGTGAAAATTGATATTTTAGGGCTGTTGACAGTATTTTCTGATTTATGGAGTGATACAAAGAGATATCCAAAATCCCTTCTGTAAAAGCCTTAGATACTAATATGACTACAAAATGAAACAATAATTTTGATCCTGGCTTTATCCAAAGTTCAGATTTCGGTTCCTGAAATGTGTTAAAATATGCGCATATTTCATGAGATAATGGTTCATTTGGATATTTAAACATGCTATTTCAGAAAACTTGTAATACAAAAAACAATTGCCTTATTGTAAGTAATTAACTGGAGAAATATTTAGCTGATATCTTTAAGTTAAAAATACCCTATTCACCTGGGGTGTCTCGCCTTAATTAGATGTTTGATAAGTGCAGATCACATAGTAAAACACGTACACAGATACATTATTTTGTATTTTTATTAAATTCGACAATGTCAATTTCACTTTCCACTATGTCCACCGTTGTTTTTCACAACCAATGGCAGAACTTTATTGAGGCCTGTAATTAGTCAACTACAGGTCTCTTGAGTCAGTCTTTTTCTTCCAAAAAGCTTGTGACAAGATGTTATTGCTCTTGGGGCATTAAAAACAAGATTTTAACTTTAGTTTTTTATATAATATCTGCATTTTCTATTGTGAAAAACTAAGTCTTAGTTATTTAATATATAGCGCCATCTCCTGGTTAAACCCTGAAATTGGAGAATAGTGGGAGGGCCTAACATTCCTGAATACTGGTCTTTGGCAGGCAACTGGCTGGCAACTGGCTGGCAGTCGGCAGGAAGCTGTATGCTGGGGTCCAAAATAAGAGGCTCCATCTGTAGGAAAGATCCTCAGCTCGCTGATTGGATGTTTTAGCCGCAATGCACGTCGGGATATGGTGTTAATGCGATATGAAATCCGAAAAAAAAATCAGAGTTTAGGATGTCCGAAGACACTACACTACCCATAATCCCCAGCTATCGTTTGGGACTACAGTCCCGTTGACAAACCCCGTGATTAATCTTCAAGCTCTGGGATTGGATGTTGGAGTGGCAGTGCGCCAAGGTTACGCCGAGCGCCAAACAGCTCTTTGAAATGGAACGAAACCACGGCAGACTTTCCAAAACTGGACTCGAACGCCCCCCCAGAACTACACATGCTGGCTATTGTGTTTCGCAACATGTTCTATGGCGTCTCTACTGGAAATTGTAGTTTTAAAAGACGTTTTCGTTTTTCCCAAAATTAGAAGTTGACAGTATTAAACTGTGTACAGCCCTGGAGGTTTAGGGGATAGGAAACAAATTGGTGTGTACAAATGTAAAACATGTAATTAATAAATGGGTGAAAATCGCTTGTGTCCATAATGGGAAGCATTAATATATACCCACATGCCAGCTCATTGTTACTTTGTAATTCTACTCCACTACAATTCAGAGGTTAACCTGGTATTTTTACTCCACTACATTTATTTTAGTTACTTTGCAGATTCTGATTAATGATGTGAAATATAAACAACCCTTAAAGCAGACTTTAGTTACACCTGAGTAAAATTCAGGGAAAGGTGATTGTCAAGTGCCAACAATCAGGAGAGATATTAGTTGGTGCTTGAGAAGACTAAACATTTATCTGCAGATCTCTATAAAGTATATTCATTACTCGTTATTCTCTACTAATAGTTAATTAAAGACTGTATATAATAGCTATTTTGCACATCCCTTTCAAGATTTTCTAAGGTTTATTGACATATCATATACACTATGTTCAAGTTATGCAATTAATGAAAAACTTGGGTCACAGGTTCCTCAACAGTGCATTACAAGACATCTATTAATATGTGTGTATTCCTCCACCATTAAACTCAAATTCTGCACATGTCTTATACTATCTACATACATAAGAGTATAATTAATATATATATAATATCAGTTAAAATAAGTGCTTCAACACAGTTAACATTGCAGGAAAGCAATATATTAGACGTTAAGTACTTTGTCAGGCTTAATATTTATCTGTAGATAGATACCCCCAAAGCTTTTTTCTTATTTGAAAGAAAACCTAAAGTATTCTTTAATGTGTTAATAAAGGTTAATTAGTTTGTCTGTTTTGCACATCCTCATATTAATATCTTTGTACATCAGGCACTAAACTGTTTTATTGTAGAGATCACTTACAGTATCTTCTTGATTTTTTATATTCTATATTTCTATCATTGACCTTCTACTTTCCCCCTATGAAGTATGTACTCTTAATATTTTATTCATCAAATAACATTATTCAACAAAAATAACATTATTCAACAAAAATAATTAAATAACGTGCTTTAACCACTAGGCGGTGCACACAAGGTACACACAGTATACTAATAATAACTTTGTATTATTAGTGTAGGACACTTATGTATGTATAACATCTGAAGATGTGTAGTTGTATTCATGTTTTTACATAATTGTACAGGATATTGCTATATTATTTCTCATGTTTACTTCTACACATTAATATCTGATTTGTAAAACATCAAAGACAGAAAGGTATATCCGTCATTTAATGGTAAGCTATTGAAATTGTGATTCCAGAGATGTGTCTCCCATCACCCAAATCCCCTGACTATTCTCTCAACTCAGTATTTACATTCTTATATTCAAAGAAAATCAGTAATATCTTTAAAAACTACAAGTCCTTTTCTATCAGCTGTGCACCGTTATGGTGTAAATATAACCTATCTACCAATTGGATCAAATATAAAAGTCAGCCGTATTAGTATTGATACTGCAAGGAGACGTATTTTGTGAAAAGAAATGTAAGATGTTGTTTAATTGTTGATATATTTATGATCCACGTCACGTATTCAGTTTCGGCGGCAGTTCTTCCTGTTTGTCCAGAAGTCTTCTCATCAGGGCTCTATAAATAAAGAACTATGGCAGATGTGTAATATTTAATGCAGCCGAACCGTGTATTACAATGCCGTTATGTGATGACTTTCAAAGAGAAAAGCAAGAACACTCGGAATAAAGTATTATTATTATTTTTTTTAATGTTTTCGGATTTCACATCGCATAAACACCATATCCCAACGTGCATTGCGGCTAAAACATCCAATCAGCGAGCTGAGGATCTTTCCTACGTCTGTTTCCGGTATTGTTCCTGTAATGAGAGTTCACATTTATGCTACATTGAAGGGTGGAATTGACTACACATCTTCAGAAACATAATTTGCTTGAGATATATACTGTAACTCATTGCAATATTGTAACCATTAAGAAAAGCCAACTGCATTAAAAACCCAGTTAACAAACACAAGGTAAAGTATGTTTCCTTCAGTAATGAAGATGTAATTCGACTGTAGACACACCTGGGGTCGCTGTTCAGTCTGTTACGCTGAGCCATGCATTGTCTGGAACGTAAAAGGGACGAAGAAGACAAAGTGAAGTGACGTACTTCCGGTTCAATGTGAAAACATTCCCAGTTAAACCATAGGTATATATAAAAACATATGTTTATATATATCTATGAGTTAAACAACATAAACAAATCGCTTAATAAAAAGATAAAACACTGGCATGTAATTTACGTTTGGATTAAATAGAATGGTTTTGAATAATAGATGAGAGTAAAATCTACGTCACAGCCCCACCCACTTTTGGGGAAACCAACGCTGTCATTTGAATGGCGATCAAGCCTGAAGCCACAGAGCTCTTCTGCTGTCCTTAGAGGAAGTTTGAGGTGTTTGAGGTGCAATAAACGACACAGCAGCTTTTTGGCATCTTAAAACTCTGCCTCGCAGCTGGCGAAATTACAGCCTCGCCTACTGATTTTAATTTAACCATAGGATATCAAGCCCGATCGTCGATTTCAAATGTGTGCTCTAAAATGATATTAATAAATGACTATTATCATTATTATAAGCTAGAAAAGAAATGGCAAATATAGGTAGAAAGCAAACGTATTTAGATACGTTCATAACAAACGTCATGTGAGAGAAAATAGGTTTCTAGAAGATATGTAGAAAATAAACGTATTTAAGATATGTTCAGAACAAACGTAACGTGGGACAAAAGACGTTTCTTGTTAAACGTAATTGAGAATGCTGTATGAAACGACTACAAACAATATTGTGATTATTAACCATTAACCAGCATAATAACGGATTTGGTCAACTGAAAAGTCAGCCGCCAGCCAGCGCGAAAATAAGTTTGCTCTAAAATGATATTAATAAATGACTATTATCATTATTATAAGCTAGAAAAGAAATGGCAAATATAGGTAGAAAGCAAACGTATTTAAGATACGTTCATAACAAACGTCATGTGAGAGAAAATAGGTTTCTAGAAGATATGTAGAAAATAAACGTATTTAAGATATGTTCATAACAAACGTAACGTGGAAGGAAATACGTTTCTTGCGAAACGTATTTGAGAATGCAGTTTAGTTTTGTGGGAACGTAATTTCTAGGAGACAGGGTTGCATACTCGGCAATTTAGAGAAACTTGACACAAGCTCAATTTCTGGCCCTCACTATTGCCAATAATTCAATATTACTAAACTGTAAACGTTGGAAAAAGATCAGCTAACCACAATGGCTAGAGCCTCTTAGCAAAACACATGTCAAAGGAACAACAGCCTTCCAAAAAAATGACCTTGAAGAATTTAACAAAACATGATTTCTCCGAAACCGGAGGCAATGCCAAAATAGAACAACAATAGAATAAGAATTACATGTATTTCAACAAACCATCCTGTAAAGACTGCAGTTATCCAAACAGATTCTACCCTCTCTACACTCACAAATGTGTACCCTTTTATGTTTTGTTAACTTTACTTTTGTGAGTATATCCGTGTCGACCACATGTGTAGGAACTATTGGTGAATACAAAATTAAAACTACTACTAAAAAGTACAGTGTTTTCTCTTATCAGTGGTTAATCTTGTTGTCTTGTTTTACAGAGACTCATAACAGAAGACACAGTTATTTTGTATAACATAATTGTTTGTGTTTGTATTATGAAATAATATAATAATGGCATCATGCAACAGTTTTTTATTGAATTACAAGTTCACCACTCACTGCTTAATATGACTCCCTGCAGTGTGAGGCTTATGTCATTAGCATTGAAATGTGAAAAAGCAGCAAAATGACTAGGACAATGTCAGCATAGGATAAATGTATTTTAAGGTATCATTTTGATCAGTTTAAAAATTATCAAAGAGCAAGTAAAGCTGCAGATAAGAAGTGAGGTCTTCTTTTTCGTCTTCCTTAATCACAGTTAGTTTTCCGATAGCTTGTATACGTAGATGACTCTTTGGCAGGAAGGACAACGGTGCTCCACATCTTTGCAGGAATCAATGCAGAATGGTATAAAACCGCAAGGAATACACCTGTAGAGGGGAAACAACGTCAATAGTAACACTCCAATCAACAACCGTTCTTAAAGGAGGATTTTCTGGTGTATTTCAGACACTGTCAGAAACTAGATGTTTCTACCAAAAAGGTTGTTTTTACCCAATGAAGGAGAAGAGAAAACAGGTAGCCCAGGCCCTCATGCCTGCTGTGCGCTCTATCATGGTGATCACTGACTGCTGGCAGTGGGGACAGACAGTTTGTCCTGGGACGTCACGTAGATGTGTATTTCCTATTATCACGTGAGTCACTGAGGATGACAAATGCACAACACGTTAAATAGATGGATTTATGTCATTGTACAAGCTTAAAATAAGTACAATGCCCCATTTCTGACAGCAATATTTGATAATTGAAAACCAGAAGCAATAAACTGAATTTCATCATTTCATTTCATCTGTGTTCCAGCCAGGTAGATGGAAATATCCTTTGTTTCTGTAGAATTTCCATTTTTGGGCAATCATTCAAAGATTCGAGAATAAAATGTACTGCATGAACTGACTCAACATGACCAGCAGAGGCTGCTAATAGAACACCATCTGTATTTTGGTAAGGAGTTGCTGTTAGTGAGCCACCCAACCATATAGTGCAACCCAGTCTCACGGCATTTCTAGTTATAGTCACGACATTTAATCTATTGATTCGTGTTCACCAACACGATTTTCCCCTTTTTTTCGTGTCACACAGAACGATTTTAAAAGTAATGTATTTCTATTGGTAGTATGTTTCGTGCCTGCAACACGTCTTTTCGGGTCTTGGAAGACCGGAAGCTGTGTGGTTTATAAAAACATGTTCTTTACATGCAGTCTATGGTTCTTACTCAATATCAAGCCACGATTATTGTTTTTAATTTTAAATCGTATAATGTCGGACTTTTTTTGCCGTCAGTGAGGAAAAGAAATGGGGCTCAGAGCCTCAGAATACTGAAATCTGTATTTTTTTTTAATCTTTTTTTCCTTCTAATTTGTTATTCTTTGCTAAATAACACACTGTTATTTACTCAACAATAACACACAATTATCCTTGTTTTTAGTTACTTGTTTAATTCCATAATCTCTGGCTTTTTTGCCGAGTTGTATCTATTGTAATCTTCTGGGCACCCAAATATGGCAATATGGGGACAGACTTTCACAGTGAGTGAGAGTATTTTTGAGATATCCTCAAAAAACTTCTGCCAAAAGGAAAACACTAATGGGCAGGAGAAGAACATATGGGATAGGTTGCAGGGAGAGGCTTGACATTTGTCACAGATGTCAATAACAGTGGAATATATTTGTGACAGTCGTGCCTTTGAGAAATGAACCCTGTACAGCACCTTGAACTGTATGAGAGTGAGACGAGCACAGGATGAACTTGTATGAATCCTGTTACGTAAGAGCAGTGTCCCACCAGTGATCACCCAAGCTCACATATAGCTCAGCCTCCCAGGCAGCCTTGATTGAGACCAATTGATTATTGGTGTTGTGTGAGCTGTCATCGGTCAGGAGTTTGTTATATATTTTTGAAATAAGTGACTTTTGAAGGGGATCGGAACAAAGAAACTCATCCCATATTTGATTAGGGGGTAGAGAGGGAAAGGATGGAAACAGGGATTTGGTACAGTGTCTAATTTGGAAATAACGAAAAAGGTGAGATGTTGGGAGTTCGAATTTACTTGATATATCAGTAAAACTACGAAAGGTATTATCCTTATAAAGCTCTCTTAAAGTCCTCAGGCCCTTCTCATGCCATACAGAGAAAGTGGGGTCAGATAAGGCAGGTCGGAATAAATGGTTTCCCAATAAAGGAGCTAAAGTGGATGCAGAAGTAAACTTAAAATGCCTCCTAAATTGGTACCAGATTTTAAGAGTAGAACTCACAACAGGATTATTTGTATGTCCAGAGAGGTTGGTGGGAATAGAAGAGGTAAGTAGTGCCATAGCAGAGGATGAGCCACAAGACTGTGCCTCAAATCTACACCATGGAGGATGCACTGATTTTGACCAAAATGAAATCTTGTGTATAATAGCCCAATAATATAATTGGAAGTTCGGGAGAGACAGTCCAGCGTTAAGTCTACATCTTTGAAGAATATATTTACTTATTCTGGGTGCCTTTCCATTTCATAAAAAGCCAGAAATATCCTGATCAAGAGTCTTAAAAAATTGTTTAGGTAGGAATAGAGGGAGACATTGGAAAAGAAATAGGTACTTAGGAAGAATGTTCATTTTAACCGTGTTAATTTTACCTATAAGCACATTTCAGAGCATATTGCAGGAGCTCCTAAAAGTTGCGTCTTACTCCATCGATCACTCAGCCGGAAGTCCCTTGTAATGCACTGTTGAGGAACCTGCGACCCAAGTTTTTCATTCATTGCTTAACTACACCATAGTTGTGTATATGATATGTCAATAAACCTTAGAAAATCTTGAAATCTTGAAACGGATGTGCAAAATAGCCATTATATACAGTTTTTAAATAACTATTAGTAGAGAATAACGAGTAATGAATATACTTTATAGGGATCTGCAGATAAATGTTTAGTCTTCTCAAGCACCAACTACCAAATATCTCGCCTGATTGTTGGCACTTGACAATCACCTTCCCTGAATTTTACTCAGGTGTAACTAAAATCTGATTTAAGGGTTGTTTATATTTCACATCATTAATCAGAATCTGCAAAGTAACTAAAATAAATGTAGTGGACTAAAAATACCAGGTTAACCTCTGAATTATAGTGGAGTAGAATTACAAAGTAACAATGAGCTGTCATGTGGGTATATATTAATGCTGCCCATTATGGACACAAGCGATTTTCACCCATTTATTAATTATATGTTTTACATTTGATAACACCAATGTGTTTAATACTGGCAACTTCTAATTGTGGGAAAAACAAAAACGTTCCCAGTAGAGACGTTCCATAGAACATTCTGTATAGCCAGCATGTGTAGTTCTGGGGGAGGGGGGCTGGTCCCGTTTGAATCCAGTTTTGGAAAGTCTGCCGTGGTTTCGTTCCATTTCAAAGTGCTGTTTGACGCTCTGCATAACCTTAGCGCACTGCCACTCCAACATCCAATCCCAGAGTTTGAAGATTAATCACGGGGACTGTAGTCCCAAACGATAGCTGGGGATTATGGGTAGTGTAGTGTCTTCGGCCATCCTAAACTCCGAAATGTTTTTCGGATTTCATATCGCATTAACACCATATCCCAACGTGCATTGCGGCTAAAACATCCAATCACCGAGCTTAAACCATAGCTGAGGATCTTGGGTAATCAGTTCAGTGGCAGTGGGTGTTTCTCAATCGCGAGTACGCTTGCTTGGTAGCACATGTCTGCCGAGCATCTTGCTTCAGAAGCGAGGCAAGAATACTTCCTGCCATTCGGAAAACAAAGAGTGGAACAGGCTAGCAAGTGTGCAGGTGTGCGTCATATGAGAGGCCCCGCCTTACATCTTCCGCCACAGATTTGGGGAAATTGGTCCGTGCGCAAAGCATTGTGGGGATTTTAAGACCGCGAAGTCTACTCATGTGCAGCCTCGATATTTCTCCAAACGGAGTACGCCGCGCTCGGTAGATTTCCAAATATGCTGGAGATTGGAACAGTACTTCGGCGGCACTCGATGACGTAGTATGCTTGAAATAGTGGCTCTGAAGCAGCTTTACTCGCGATTGAGAAACACCCTGTGTATCGCAATGATGCTCGAAATGTCCCATATAGGCCTACGTCTGTTTCCGGTTATTTTTATTTTGAAATTCAGTTCCTGACGGACGCCAAAAAAGCCAGAGTTTATGGAATTAAACAAATAAATAAAAACAAGGATAATTGTGTGTTATTGTTGAGTAAATAACAGTGTGTTATTTCGAAAATAATAACAAATTAGAAGGAAAAAAAGATTTAAAAAATACAGATTTCAGTATTCTGAGGCTCTGAGCCCCATTTCTTTTCCTCACAGACGGCAAAGAAAGTCCGACATTATACGATTTAAAATAAAAACAATAATCGCAGCTTGATATTGAGTAAGAACATGTTTTTATGAACCCCACAGCTTCCGGTCTTCCAAGACCCGACCGGACAAAAAGATGTGTTGCAGGCACGAAACATACTACCAATAGAAATACATTGCTTTTAAAATCGTTCTGTGTGACACGAAAAAAAAAGGGGAAAATCGTGTTGGTGAACACGAATCAATAGATTAAATGTCGTGACTATAACACGAAATGCCGTGAGACTGGGTTGTATAGTGACCTTTTTGAAACGATAATCCATGCCTTCGTCACCTCCCGCTTGGATTACTGTAATGCACTATATATGGGGATAACTTGCTCGCCTGGCACACGAGCACATTTCCCCCATTTTATCTTCACTCCACTGGCTGCCTATTCATTTGAGGATTCATTTTAAAACTGAGGGTGCCCAACACAAAGTCAAAGCTCAGAGGGGACCATGCTTTCTCTGCTGCCGCCCCTAAACTGTGGAACGACCTGCCGTTGCAAATCAGACAGGCTCCCACACTGTCTGTTTTTAAATCCCGTCTTAAAACCCACCTCTTCTCCTTAGCATTCAAAACCAAGTAGATTGTTGCTTTTATTTGCTTTCAGTGATCTATTGTTTTTACTATATGGCTGTTTTTAATTTTAATTTTGTAATTGTTATGTTTATTCTGGTTTGTTTTGTGTTCGTACCTTTTATGTGATTTTATATTTATTGTTATGTTTTGTGAGCTGAGCTGTGTGATTTTATATTTAATGTATCGCTCTGTACAGCACTCTGGTCTGGTTTTAAAGTGCTTTATAAATAAAGTTGGATGGGATTGGATAGAGGGTATTTATAGTAATATATTATAGATATTTTTAGTAATGGACAGCTCAGATTTTACTCATAGTGTAGAATGAAACTGAGAGAGAGTAACATGAAAAATATCTAAATGTGTGTTAATCTGACCCATCCTTCATTAAACAAGCCCACTGTCACCTTATTATGTTGTTATCTGTATTTCTATTTGTTATTTAATGAATAGCTAACATCTGTTGCAATAAGAAATACTCAAAATGTGACTGCACGCAACAAAAAGAGACAGTGGACAATAGCTTTTTGTTATGCACATCCGAAACAAATGAACTATTCTTCGGATAACTTTGGTAGGAAACTGAGGACTTCACCCACTGACTCTGAGGCTCTGTGCAGGGGCAGTTCTAACTCCACAAGCTGGAACAGAAACATGTTCACTATCTGTGTCACAGTCTGCTCCCTCACTCACCTATTTTCTGCATTAGCATGTCTCAGTCACCTTAGTCACCTGGTAGTCACACCCTGTTTCTCTCTCATACTCTGTTACACCCATTAGCTCCACTAGTATATAGGCCCCCTTCACTCTCACCTCAGTGCCAGATCGTACTTCGCAGCATGCAGTTCTTTCCAACATTACCTCCCAGATTGCTCTCCCGGTTTCGACCTTGCCTGTCCCTGACCAGCCTGCTTCGCCTGTTTCCTGACCCTGCCTGTACCCGGACTATTCTGCCTCGCCTGCTCCCTGACCCTGCCTGTACCTGCGTCTCCCGTCTTGCCTACTCCTGGAACCCTCGCGTGTCCCCGACCAGCCCTTTGCCTACTGTCTGCCGGTTTGTCTTACACCAGAACTTTTCTGTGGAAACAAGTTTTAATAAAGCTGGTTACCGACTTTCCCTGGTCTCCCGTGTGTTGCATTTTGGTTCTCAGCGTGACAATCTGTATGTGTAATGTGTTTCACATAGGACAGATTGTGCTTGGTCTCGCCTGTTGTGGCAGGAACAGCAGTGGCTGGAGCATAGGCAACATCTGGCAGATGAAACGACATTTATCAAAGAAGGAAAGGTCAGATCAGGGGCCTCATTTATAAATGGTGCGTACGCTCAAAAGATGGCGTACGCCAGTTTCTACGCAATGTTTGCGATTTATAAAAAACAAACTTGACGGGAAAATGTGCGGTCCTCCACGCAAATTCTGACCCATGCGTACGCACTAAGCACAAAAACGGGAGAGACGAGAAACTGGCTGCGACACCGTTGGCAGAAGGAAGAATGGAGATAAATATGTGGAAATAATACCATAAATAGAATGTTACCTCTCATTTATCATATATGAATAATTAATTTTCACAAATTGATTAAAGCCATTCTTAAAATGATTTAAAAAACGCCTGTTTGAGACTCCTCAGTGCACACAAAAACATAACTTGGAGAAATAAATAAATACGGAAATGTTATTGATCACCCCTCGATTATGTTCTCTTGTTAAGAAATGTATTCTCATAAATGATGCGGTAAGCAGAAGGATATAATTACTTTAAACTGTTTTGCATTTCTATAGGTTGTATACGAGCATGGTCTTATATCATGTTTAATCATGTTTTATGCCGTTCGCCAATAGCCTACTTGATAAGTCGCTCGTAAAACACAGGAGGTATGGAAACTAAGAACACCACATGTGGTAAATTGTACAGCTATAACACAGCACATTAGTTGTATTTCCTTTAACTGGTGGATTATGGATATATAGTTGCTGATCGAAAGCTGGAACACAAACCACCAAATACAAAAAAATAATTCAGATCCAGTCGTCATGACTCCACTCCGGAGGGATTCCCCGATCATTTATTACAGTTTCTCATCAAGGGGGTGTCTCCTGTCCCCGGTACAAACACACTGGCTGAGGAAGGCTATGTGTATTTTTTTTGTCATTAACCTTTTTCGGACCACTTATTTATTTATTTTGGTGACGATCCGACCTCCATGCTGCTACTCTGGTTCAAACTGCATCCACCAAACAATATGATTTATCTCGACCTCCCCAAAATAACCAAAATCTGACACGGTGTGTGACATGTCTTTTTTAGCTGTCCTGTCGTCATTTCCTGCGATCTTCTTCATGCAGTCAGTCAAAATGAATTAATGAATGGGCGTTTCTTTGACTATTTATAGGCAAATATGGGCGTTACGTGAAGCCCGCAAAAGCTGCGCCGCATTTCGAGTTGATTGTGATTTATAAAAGGGAAACCGGCGTAGGATGTGCTGTACACAAGTCCTGCGCAGGTACGCAGTCTTTTATTAATCGGAAAGTGTCGGTGCGTATTTATTTGCTTTGTCCTACATAAGCAACCTTCCCACGCCAATCCTACGCAAGGCTTTATAAATGAGGCCCCAGAGCAGATATGTATTTCAATCTCCTTTACCAAAGTAATGTCTTACTATATCCATACAATAAAGTTCATGCAAGTGCAATAGTGGTAATCTAATTGATTTACATTTTTGGAATTTGTATCCATTATTTTATACATCACGTTTTGCTTTATTGATGTTTACTGTATGTGTGTGTTTGTTTAATGTTCAAAGATTGTTTGCATACTGCCTGTGCTGCAGCACCTCTTTTCTCCCTCTGTCTGAAACCAGAGCCCAGTCTGCCCCGATTGGTTGTCTGGCCGCAGGGCCACCCCTCCCTACACGCAGAACATGCGCAGTGCGTAGGGCCTCATCATGTGCAGTGGTTCTCATCTTATGCGCAAATGTGGCGCAATAATGCGCAACACAGTTTCCTCGCAGCGAGGCTCCCACGCTAACAGTTCACGAGAGAAAACTCCCTCTGGAGGGAACTTTGGGATTTTAGCCTTTGCAGACCATTTACATGCACAAAAACCTATATAACACACTACAGGGAAAGGGAAACCCCCAAAAGCCATAATAGGGCCCCTTTGAATTGTGCTGTCAGGTCTCAGTCGGGCAAAATAATCCTGGGCAAGGTTAGGAGGAAAAGGACAAAATGATCATCTTTGAAACAGTATGGCAGACACAGACCTCCCTGCATGGGTGGGGGCGCTACGGGGTAGTAGCCCGGCTGAGCGTACTGCCCTGGATGTGGCATTGCACCGCCATAGTGCATCGGCGGCCCAGGGTAGGGTGGAGTTTGTTGCTGTGGTGGGTATCCTTGTTCCATCCTCAAAAAATGTACTGCAGATGAGAAAAGGGTATTTTTGTTGGTTAATCAAAAAGCTCTAAGTCTTTGAGTTAAGTATAAAAGGTATAAACATAAAATGCATTGTATTGCTGCCACAAAACACAGTACAACAAAAACATATGTGAACACTTTTCATTACATAGTGGTAGATACATGTGTGTGGAAAAGCTTCTGAAGTAAATTAGGTTATGCTTCGATGATGCATGGTTTAACATTATACCCCCAAAAATACTGTTGTATCTAGAATTTGCCATTATCTTTATTTTTATAAACATTATAACAGGTAAAATGAAAAAGAAAAGAAAATAGTATACTGAATGTCTGTTTCATAGGTCTTGAACCACATCCTCCAATGTATGTCACGCATTGTTTATATATAATGACAAAAAATGGTTACAGTCTTAACAAAGGACAGTGTCAATACAGATACAGAAATACAGATTAAGGATCTTAAATTGTATATCTGCCTCTGCGATTCCCCAACGAGAACATTCTCCATATTTCAACTACAATACTCAAGCCTTATTAAGAAGCCCAGACTTAATTTCAAGGCCCTTTAAGCTGATTTGAATAATCTGACTATTGAAGATATGGAACCAGTTGATACTGAGGCTTCATAACCATTTTTCACGCCCTCCCCTTCACTTGGCTGATCGCGAGGTTAAGTATACCCCTAATCAAATTCCTCAACAACTTCCACCGAATACCTCCTCCAGTAGCACTTTGCTCCCAATCACTAGCTTACTCCAGAAGCAGTTAACCTTTGATGCATCACATAATCCCTTTGAGAAGCCCAGACTAAATTTCCTTCATTTTTTAAAGGTTTGATTAGGATTACAGCCAGAGGAAAAAGGGGATTTTTATCAAATGTAGATATAAGCAAAGAGGAAGCTAGCAAAACAGTAGCACCTGGGTTTATTAAGCTCAACTCAGATGTATTGATTAAACTAATCCACTTTTAGCAGGAGGAATATAATTATAACACAGGTTTACTTCTGTGTACTAACTCAGCTTTGCAGAAGAAGAGCACTCTGACCACAGGTTACACATCCTCTTTACAAAACCACACAACATTGAGCATAGTTTAAGTAGTATGAGTAAGCAGTACTTTGACTGTTGTATTTGGTAAAGGTATCATTTTATGGAATCTTTTATTTATTGTTAAGTAGTTTTATATTACTGTGCATAGTGTGTGATTAGGTAGTCATATATTGAGGATTTAATCAACTTAATGTGGTATGCTTCTGGACTTTTTGTTGAAGGGGGTCAAAGTGACAAAAGAAATGCAAAAACGTAAGTACATAACAAGTGCTAAGAAATTCCAGCAAAATACAGTACTTGAAAAAAGGCACTTTCACACTAGGGAAAAAAAAGCGTGACTTTGGAGACATATGGCAGCAGGCTTATTACTGGTCTTTGACAAGCAAAATAAAACAATAAACGGAGGCAATAAAAAAGACCAAACATGTGCTTATAGTGAAATGCCAAAACCGTTATCCTGTTTGGTTGACACATTTTTGATGAAAGATAGCGTTTAGATAAATGGGTCATCGACTCTACCACCATTGTGGTACCTCATTCTGCGATAGAAAGTGACGTAACAGACAGCTGTATAAACAAAAACTTCCAGATGGACATTTTAAGAACCTTTTAAGCAGGGGCGGCGCCAGGGGGTAGCTTGGAGTTGCTTATAGCAACTCCAACAATTGGCCTAGCAACGGCTTAGCAACCCCATTGTTTTGTTATGAAAATGTATCTATATATATTTATACACATTCTTGCGAGATCTATCAGGGGTCATTGTAAGGCCCAGGCTCCACGGGAACGCATACGGCAAAACGCATAGGATTAACGCAAACGCAAACGCCAAAAAGCTTCCGTCCACACGCAATATACACCGGATTGTGTCTTGCTACACGAGACAGCTCCGTTTACATCCAACCGCTGGAAAAGCTGCAGTACATATGCCGAGCCTGTACGTGGCGCTGTAACTTCCTCCACAAAAGCAGCAACTTCCTCCACAAAAGCAGCGAAGAAGAATGGTTGTCATGGCTGCACTTCTGTTTATTCTCCGCGGTGGGGGCCGAGGGAACCGGGCAGAGTTTTTTGCCGGTCAACGTGTGTTAAAGTTTAAATCTTCCGGACAAAATTATAAAAGTGCCGGTCAAAGATCTTCTTTGTTATTTATTGAGCTTTAAAACAAATGAATAACGACGATATGATATATAATAATAAAATACACGGAGCCCGTCTCTTTTTCCTCTCTTCTGACAGCGTCAGTGTCTGTCTCATGCAGCAGCTGATCCAGTAATGATGACTCGACAGTAAAAATAAACATATTTATAACTAGTTTAGGTAGTTTTAGAGGTAATTAAAATAGCTAAGGGTGATGATCTGACTTGAAGTGTGTGTTTTGCTCCCGCTGCATCACAGCGGGAGGAGCTGCGTGTCTCCGTCCTGTCAGATTAGACTTCACTCGTGTTTATGTCCATATCGAGATAAAGATAAATAATCTGAATTCAGTGTGCAGTGTACTTTTGCGGGGGTGAGCAGCAGAGGCGGGGCTATTGCGTCGTCATTATCAGAAACGGATGGCTGCCACACGGCCCCGTTGGACCCCCCAGAGCGCTCCGTTCCCAGATCTATCCACCTTTGGACCCGTTGTCGTTTGCAGGGTCCGTTTCTACCGTTCCGTTACGGCGTTGTGTAGCTTAAAGGGCTATACGCAAGAGAAATATGCGGATACAACCCGTTTTCGTTCCCGTGGAGCCTAGGCCTAAGTTAAAGCGCGAACTGTTACTTGGCTAATGTTGTTATAATTCTCAGTATGTGAACACAGATCGAAAATGGAAAGATTTCTCACAAGTCAGCGTAAACGGCCGCGATCTCCAACGGAGCCGGTCCCTGTGTGTGTGTGTGTGTGTGTGTGTGTGTGTGTGTGTGTGTGTGTGTGTGTGTGTGTGTGTGTGTGTGTGTGTGTGTGTGTGTGTGTGTGTGTGTGTGTGTGTGTGTGTGTGTGTGTGTGTGTGTGTGTGTGTCTATGCCACAGCATGCCAGTTGAAACAGTGAACGAACGCTATTGTGTACACTTAGGGTGTAATGGTATTATACACAAATATTGTATATATATATATAGGAGCAGAGAACCAGTGTTCAAATTCTGCTTTTACAAACTTATTTTGGTTGTGCTTACCTTGCAAAGTAATGTTATAAGTGTCAAAGGAATGTTTTAATGTAAATATTAATGATAATATTGTAGCGTGTCCAAGTTAATAGTTATTTCAGTTATCAGATGTGCACAGTTTAGTACATTTGTAAAGTTATTTAGGCAATGTTGTTGGCGGGAGTTAGGGAGAGACCGCCCCTTCCAGGTGTGTGTGTGTGCGTTTTCCGGTGTGTGTGTAGGGAGTACGAGACGGTAGGAGTTGTGTTCGAGTGTGGGGAAAAGTCATAATGAGTGTTATACTATTGATTGGCTCTGTAAGGCGTGGCTGTGGCCGTCAATACCATAAAATAAAGAGAACGTTTTCGACATTGAAGGCTCGTGATCTGTGATCTTGAATAGCGGTGAATGCTACAATATGAACAGGCTCGTGCTTGGCCCACTGGTATTGTTTGTTTATTTATTTTGAAAATTAACTAGCAATGCCGTGCTGTCATATAGCAACTGCTAAGCTACTGCAGCAAAAAAATGCTGGCGCCGCCCATGCTTTTAAGTGAAGCAAACTGGTAAAGTGCTGTACTCGATGCTATGAAAGAATGTATTGTAGTTTTCATATGCTGGTTATTCTCGCTCTGCCGGACTGCGAGTAAATCCCTGCTAAACTTCATGTGACTCATCCTGAATCTATAATAATAAATCATTTACATTAACTTGATCCACAAAATGTAATTTTCCATTTCACTAGGTCTGCAACCTTTTTGACCAAAGAGACATTTTGCCCCCTTTTCCATCAATGTTTTTTGTCTGAAACCGCAAAACATATTTGATAGCTTGATAGCTTATAAAGTTGTATATATTGTTATATCATAGACAAAAACTGCATTTATTATTTATTACATTATAGAAAACTGTTTAAATTGTGGCCAGCTGAGCAATAGTTGGAAAAACAATTCAGAAGATTTTACAGCTCCTCTCCCCTTTTCACAAAACGCAAGCTGCGACTACGTGAGAACCGTACTAGCTATCAAAAAATATCCAATTAGTCTAAGAAAGTTCATAGTCTCGAGAACCGTTTAAACTTGTAATTTATGTTCTACGTTAAAGTATGCGGAATTTAATTTATCCATGGTTTGCTCATCGAGCCGGGGGTCAGGTTATTCACCTGCAAGAAAAGGCGCTGGCGCGGGACCGTAGCAAGATATGACGCATATTTTAGTTGACCTAATTAAAACCTTTTTTTTTTTTATGTGTCACAGTATCACCTCAAAATACAAGATACGAAACATTTTCAACCATGCAACAAAATAGAAATAGTCATACTCATTTTTATTTTTTATTTCCTTAATAACATCAGCTAAATCAGGTCAACATACACATTCATAAACAACATACTCTAACATAATAGCAACAGCAGCTGATCATTATGTAACTTTGCATTTAAAAATAAAAGGTTTTCTACCACTTACCTAAACAAAATAAAGGAGAATCACGCAGCCTCTCTACTGGAGCTGTTTGGCACTGAGTGAGGCAGGAAGAGACGCATTTAAAGCGAGAGCGTTCTGAAACAATTATAGAGGAAGTCCTACAGTTACTGGATCCAGTTGATGGACTGGAGCTCGACAGATTCATGGCAAACCCTCCCTTTTTTCACTCCCTTTCATTCCTTGTGGACGGGTGGGTCTTAAAATAATAACTAGTATAATATACAGTGTTTGTATATTGCTGTTCAAATAATGAACATAATGGAAATAACAAATATGGACACAGAATTCAGTAAAAAAGGGATGGTGAAGGACGCCTGTAAGAACAAATAATTTTTTGACAAACAAACAACAAAAAAACTCTTGCACAAAGTTAGTAGTACTAAACACTCTAACTAGGGACAAATTCTTTATTTTTTACAGATGAACAGAAAAGAATGTTACTTTGTTTGTCGACGAATAATAACTAAACTCTCACTACCGTAACATCTGTGTTTATGTGTTTTTTCCTGTGTAGTTTCCTGTGGTCTAACACTATCTCAGTCTGACTCACCTAATGAAAACCACGTGAGAATGTGGACGGAAACGAAACCAGCCTCGAGTCCTTCGACGAAAACCTTTCCACTAATTGTTTTTTAGCTATAAAAATTATGTTTCATCCAGATAGTGTGGGATATTCCTTACTTATAGTGGACCTATCATGCTATATTTAAATGATATATTGTAGGGCCATACCTATATAAGGTATATTTATACGTTTCTGTTTTCAAAATACCAAACAGATCATGCATTTTAGCCATGCCTCATTTCGCTCTATGTGCTGTTTGCTGTCTACGGGTCTGATTCTGCTGACCACGCCCCCCTGCAGGAGAGGGTAGCCGTGCTCTGATCAGCTGCTGGGCTGTCAGAAGAGGGGGAGAAAAAGAGATCTCCGTTCTCCGTGTTTTATTATATAGAGTCGTTATTCATTTGTTTTAAAGCTCAATAAATAACAAAGAAGACCTTTGACCGGCACTTTTCTAATTTTGTCCGGAAGATTTAAACTTTAACGGACATTTTGACCGGCGAAAGAAACTGAAACTGAAACTCTGCCGCACGGTCCCCTCATTTTCATTTCACTAACGGGGTCGATAGATGCAGTGAGTAGTGAGGCGGAACGTTTGTGTTCGATTCAATGGTTCCGGGGTACCGATTAAAGAGACGGACGTTCCCGGGGTTTCCTCAGAAGTAATCTGGAAGGAAACTGAACACAAGGTGTCCTCATTACTTCTGTTTCACCTGCACGATACAGGTTGGTAAACTGTGCATAAATCACAATGAATCCCCCATAAGGTTTGCGAAGATAATATGTAACGGCCCGCTAACAGTTAGAAGACTGTACCGCTGTTTACATGTGTAAAACCGTTAAATGGTGTGAGTGTATTAGCCTAGCTTTCCCGGTACGGCGCCATTTTGGGGACAACGTGGTCTGACGCAGTAAGGATACAAGTTTGTCAGTATATCTGAAGCCTCCCGTACACTGAGTATTTACATGCATGTATAGTGATTGTGAGTTTGTAATAAATATGTACTTTGTAAGGGTTATAAGTTAGTTACTGTTGGTAAAACAGTAAGGTTGTTTGTTACACTTAAATATGTTTCAGTAATGCATTTTAGTGACCTGCCATTAATGGCAGAAGGTAAATAGTCAACATGACAGGTTAGAGGGGTCATGAAATACTACTTTTAAGTGAAAGTAAAAAGAAGAGTAGTATTAAATACAGGTTAATACTGTATACAAATGTATTTAAGGTACAACAGATTTTATTGAATGTGAAATTCAATTCGACATATGTGTTTATCACATAAAAGAGTAACATACAGACAGAGTGAAGATATGTGAATGGTTATTGAGGAATGTAAGTTGAAACTGAAATGCATAAGATAATTGATATGTTTATATGATTTTGTGTAATAAAACAACCTCAGGAGAAGTAATCTGGAAGGAAACTGAACACAAGGTGTCCTCATTACTTCTGTTTCACCTGCACGATACAGGTATCATAACCGTTACTGTGGTCCTCATCGGGGACCCGTAACAGTTCTTGGGGGCTCGTCCGGGATCGGCGCCACCTACTGGTCGGGAGCTGATCCATTAATGACTTCTAGGACCAATACCGGAGCTGATGCGAGCAGAGAGCTGTAAGCTGGAGCAGACGTGGAACCGTTGCTGAACTGGGCGATCCATCGTGAGTGAATTGGAAGAGCTGCTGTCATGTCGGAGAGCCAAAGGAAAAGTCTGGTGTGGGACATCAGAAGAAGCCTACTCTCCTTGTCAGCGAAAGAACTCCTCCACATTGCCAAGGAAGTGGGTCCAGTGCCAGACCAGGAACCGTCTGAGCTCGAGGAGGGAGACGATGAAGGCTGCTTCAACTACATCAGTTTATTTATGCACAGTAAGCACTTGCTTGAGTCAGAAGATAGTGGGATGGCTCACTTGTTGATGTTGAAAGATGCTATTGATGACATTGTGAAAGACAGAGAAGTAAGTGTACAGGGTTTGCCACATGTAGAACCACACGTAGAGATAAACACAGGTAACAACACTAAGCAGATATCTGAAGCTGAGACAGATCTCACCGCTTCTCCAGTCAGTTTTAATGCTGTAGGTGATAACACAAATACTGGGTTACTGGAAATGCTTAATAGCTATGAAGACCTGGGCAAAAGGTTAAGACAAAGCATTATGGCACCTACAACACAGACACTAGAACAACCCCCACTGTCACCAGCACACACTAGTAAGTCTCATCATAACATCCCACACTCACCAGCTCAGTCTGCTGCCCAGTCCGGCCCTGAGACAATGATCTCCTTAAGAGGACTCTCTTACCTCCAGAGGAGGGAGTTTAAGGTGCAAGGGGGTCAGGTTGGTGATAATTCTTCGGACATAAGCTATAACAATGTCTGTAAGCAAATCGAGGAAGGGATTAGAGAAGGCGTCCATGACGGAGACATAGTTCGTGGTGTGCTCCGAATCATACAACCTGGAACTTTCAAAGACATGCTAATAAATAAGGATGACCTGACAGTGATGGAGCTCAAAGGCTTTCTCCAGGCCCACTTAAGAGAGAAAAACAGTACGGAGTTATTCCAAGAATTAATGTGTGCTAGACAGGATGATAATGAAACACCACAACAGTTTCTCTACCGAGTGATAGGGTTAAAGCAACGTGTCCTATTCACCTCCAAACTGTCAGACGCAGGCATTAAATACAGTCCAGCTACTGTTCAAGATGTGTTTCTACATACGGTCTTGCAGGGACTTGGATATAAACACAGTGATGTACGCAGAGAACTAAAGCCTCTTCTATCAAGTGGTGAGGTGAGTGATGAAACAATATTACGCCATGTAATGAGAATCACCAGTGAGGAGAGTGAGAGACAGAAGAGGATAGGTCCTTCTCGTCGGCAGGCAACAACTAGTGCTCATAGCGCACAACTTGAGCTTAACAAAGTCCAAGAGTGTGGCAACAAACAAGAGAGCACAGCACACAAAACAAAGACAGACCCAATAAAAGAGCTTGCAGCCAAGGTGGATGAACTAACCAGCATGGTTGAGGCTATGAGACAACAAAAGCAGCCACATCCGGCAGACATGATGAACCATAACCAATACTCTCAAAACAGAGTGAGACCCAGGAGAGAGAAACCTTTTGGTTGTTCAAAATGTGTCGAACAAAACCGGCCAGATTGTAACCACTGTTTCTATTGTGGGGATGGAGAACACAGGGCTGTGGGCTGTTTAAAGAGACAGGAGAGTCAGGGAAACTCAAGCCGGTCACTGCAGCGGGGTTGCCAGTGATCGGATCCACAATACGACCCCAAGCTGAACATTCTGGTGAGGCAAAAGCACAAACCAGTTGTGAGGGCAAAACAGTTGAAGTAGCTGGTGCCCAGAATAGTTACCAGCAAGATGAACCCTCGCAGTTTTCTTTTGGTTCACCAGGGGTGAAACGTAGAACTGTGGCCAAGCTGATAGGGAAAAAGTCGCTAATACAGTGTAATCTAAACGGATTGGCAGTGACTGCATTGCTTGACTCCGGTGCTCAAGTCAGTATCATAAGCCGCGCCTGGAAAGAACAATATCTGCCTAATCTTGATGTTCGATGGATCTGGACGAGCTGAAGGTGTATGCAGTTAATGGCAAGCTTATTCCGTTTGATGGCTGGGTAGCCATTATGACCAACCTGCCAGGAAATGAAGAACCCAGTCTTTCCATCAGTGTTCCATTCCTAGTCACAAGGTTGGCCATGGAGAGACCATTGGTTGGTTTTAATGTTTTGGAGGAAATCATTGAGGGACAGCCAGAACGATTGATATGCACTCTGGTTAAACTGCTTCGTGATGCCATCAGTGTTCCGGTGGAGAAAGCCGAAGCAATTGTGAACTTTATTCAGGCAGTTGAACCAAGTACGTCGCAGGGACGCCTAAGAACAGGTGTAAATGACATCGTCATTCCGGCTGGTCATGTCACCTGGGTGAGGTGTCGTGTTCCCCAAACCCTGAACCCCTCTGATCGTCTGGTGTTGTTTGAAGCTGATGAAGACAGTCATCAATTATCGCAGCTGGATTTAGGGACAGGTTTGTTTGAGATACAGAACCCTGCAAAGCCTTATGTCACAATTCCAGTAGGCAATAACACCAAACATGATGTCACCTTACCACGCAAGACAGCCCAGGGCGTATTGCAGCACATTGAAAGGTTTGTGGATGCTGAATCTCCTGACAAGACAACATGTACTGCAACAGTCAATGAGGTCTCAACACAACCCCTTGAACCAATCCAAAAAGCTGAGCCGATTCCACCCCTGTGGCACCCACCAGTAGACCTCAGTCACTTGGAGGAGGAACAACAAGAGATTGCCAAGAGAATGTTGTACGAAGAATCAAAGGCTTTTGCGAGGGACGGAAATGACATTGGCTGTAACCCTAGCCTACAAATGGTGATAAATCTGAAGGACGATATTCCAGTGCAAAGGACGTATACTTCCATACCAAAGCCGCTATTGAGGGAGGTCAAAGAATATATTCAAGACCTACTGG